TGACATTTGCTCCAGGATAAATATTTATTGCTTATTATATATTGATGTAATGATCTGCTCTGATCGCTGACCTTAATTACTCAGTTCATTCATCTGCCTAACTCCGCCCAGTCTCTAATTATCACTGATCTCATCCACCTGTTCCTTTATGTTGGGCTCAGTTCCAGCTATCAGGGCCAGATTATTGTTTATTTTCCCAGTTAGATGTCTTTAGTTTCTGTTTTTATAAGTTTTAGTTAGTCAAAGGTTCATGTCCCTGTTCCAGGGAAGAGATTATTCTGGAGCCAGTGTCTTCAGGAGAATTTATTCCCTATCCAGTGGTGAGAGCGTTTCCCTTGTGATTCTGACTTCCTGGTTCTGTTCCCTCTCATCCACTGGTCCCGTCTGATCTGTTCGCCTGAACCTCCTTTGCACTCCTGCTGGATTCTGTCTGTGTCTAAGCTGGTTGCTCAATGCACGGGACTCTAAACCTGCCTTCACGCGCTGTGGGTTCCTGGAACCCAGATCCGTCCATTCCCTGACTGGACTGCGGACTCCTGGATTCCAGAACTACTTCAGTCGGACCTGAATCCCTGTCCTGGATCAGAGTCCTGCATCTTCTGCGCGCTGCAGCATCGGGGCGGCTCAGGGCCGCATCTCGTTGGCAGCGCATCGGCTGATCCTGCCTGTTATTGAGACGCCATATTGGACCATGGAAAACACAGAGTTACCTTCACAGCCTCAGAAGGACAAGATTTATGGACAAAAAGTAAACCTGGACATGAAATGATGTTTTGTTTTTATAAAGTGTTTTTATAAGATTTTTGGTGTTGGCATTCATATAAATATACTGGTGTGATACTTTAGTATTTGTTTGGTTTTTGGTATACGTCTATTTTGAATTTAAAGCCCCCCCTGGAGGAGACTCCACCAGCCGCCGCTGATGTAATGTAATCAAAGTTTTACGGAGGTTTTTTGGCTGACTAGCTTTCTTCACACATCTGCTTTTTTTCTCTTCCTCATTTCACAACTACTGGTAACAAATCCTCATTTTATCAGAGATGCTGTTTGTATTATTTTCCTGATCCAATTTTCTGACCAACCTGACGTATTGAACATGACACTAAGCAGAATAAAAGGGAAAGAAGCTGCATTAAATTGGATATGCATCTGCACAATGATGCTGTTGACAAGCCTCTCACATGCCTCTTTACAAAAGCCCACACTTGTCTTTGCTCTGAATGACAAATTGAATCTAACATTAAAGTGACAACTAGAGGACATGTGGCACAATGAATACTGCAAGGGAAATTACTTTTTGTCATGTAAAAACAGTGGAGCTTTACTCTGAAAAAAGAAAAGCCTTAACGTGATGTTGTCAGTTTTATAGTCATCAGTTCTTTATATGAAAGCGGTGTCCTCATTGAGAAAACATGTCCTGCCCAGACAGGTCAGGGTTGACTGGTGTGCCCCCCCCACCCGCCAAACCGCCTCCCGTCATTGATCCCATGGTGCTGTAAGTGTATGTGGGACTTTTATATGTGTGTGTGATGGTTTATAGTTGTGTTTACAGGATCTGGACTGTTGAAGCGTGGCTTTGCTATAGTTTCTATGGTAACACATGTCCAAATGCTACTCTGTGACTTCAAGGACACATAAAGGATCATGTTGTAGGTTGGTGAGAATTCTATACCAATGATACACTCTGTGAAAAGGCTTTAACTGATCTATTTTACTTTTAGCTGTGTATAAAAATGCTTGGGCCACACAGACAAGATATCTCTTTCTTTCCAATCCCATATACATACATACATACATATATGTATATATACACACACACACACATAGGTGTTATTTTTCGTAACATTTCTTTGTGTTAAAACATGGCTTCAGGGCTACTACTCTGTCCCTGGAAAGAAAAGGGATCATAAGAAATACGGGGAATTTAAATGATTCCAAAAGATATGAACAAACAAAACATGCGATGCAAAAGGAAACAAATTAGTAAATCAAAATAAAAGCAAATATAATAGTAATTTAAATAATACGCAAACAAACAGTAAAAGAAAAAAAAGCAAGCACTTCCAACAGTGGAGCAAATTGTCATTGTCCAGTTCGTATGCCTTTCAATGGATGCCCCGCTCACTCAGCCTGTCCGAGCAGCAACAGGTTTGGCTGAGAGCGGCCCAAACAAACACCGTCAAAACAGGACAGCAGAGCGTCCAGCACTAAGACAACCCCAGGAGTGGAAACGCAGCCTAACACCAGCAGAGCAATGGGTTTCAGATGAGCGGATCAAGCTAACCAGCTTCTTAGGCAGCCGACATGTAGGGGAAACAAAGACACATGCACCTGGCAGAGGCCTGCTCAGCTATAAAGCCATCTGCCCCACCCACCAATCAACGGATTGCTTCTTGCTACACCTGGTGGACAGAGTGGGAGGGGTGGAACACCATCCCACCACATTGTGTTTCTAAATCTCTTCTTGCACGGAACTGTGGAACTGCGGACTGCGGCGGCTGCAGGGGGGTGGGTCGCTAACACTCTGGATGTAGGAGAGACACAGGTAAGTGACCACAATCATCTGACGGAAGATGATTATCCATGTGAGTCACTTACCTTGTTTAACAGTTCAGTCCATCCTCAGGAAGGCAGGATTCAGCCAATGGAATGCCAGACGAGCAACGGCGCAGAGACGCCTAGAGAATGTCCCAGATGCAGCAACCTCAGTAAGCTGGCAGGAATCAAATCCAGGTTGGGGAAACAGATCAGACAGGAACAGTTCTGGAATCCAGGAGTCTGCAGCCCGGTCAGGGGTTCCCATCCGCACAGGAAAAAAAAGATCCAGGGTACGATGAATCGACAAAGCGTGAAGGCAGGTTCATGGAGTTCCATGCATTGAGCAACGAGCTCAGACAGAAGCACACTGATGCAGACAAGCGGGCTCAGTGGTTGTGGGACAGAGACAAGACATGGTACCAGGAATAACTGCAGGAACTTTAAACTGGTCTCCAATTAGGAGCCAGGCTTACAGGACCTAAAGCCAACCTTCCCTGCATTCAGTGCCAAAACCCTGAGGGTTCCGCAGAGAAGGTCTCGGAACGATCCAGAGACAAGACAAACACCAAACCCTTTTCATCCACTGACCTTGTGGAGGGCAACATGAACAAGGGACTGAACTAAAACTAACGAAGCAAACAAACAGGAATCAATCAATGATCTGGCCCCGATAGCTGGGCAGAGTAAATATAAAGGGACAGCAAAGGTGAATAAGATGAGTGCTGATTAGGAACTGGGCAGAGTTAGACAGGTGAATGAAGTGAAAAATTAAGGTCAGCTATCAGGGCAGATAGCTATAATACTTGTATTTAGTTTTATGTTTGAATTATAATTTATTTGTCGTTGTTTTTTTAGTTCTGGTAAAGATTCTCAGTCATCCAGGTCATAGTCATTCCAAAAAAGTAAAAAAAAAAAACAATAATAAACCACTGGACTTCGTTTTCCAAGTTTGAAAAACTTCAAACTTGGAAAATAAAGTCTGCAGCACTTTGGCCCAATTTCAGTTGTTCTTAAATCTGCTAGATAAATAAATTATATTTGATTGGGATGATATTTGGTATTATTCCTTCTAAATTAGCTTCATCAAAAAGCCAAACACACAATAATATATAAGGTTGAGCCCTGCTGGAAAAAGTCCCACTTCTGCCTCTTGTATTTGTTCTTATTTCTGTTTATGACTTTAGTTGACAGCTAGAATGCAGCATAAGATTCTTCAGAGGAATTTCTGGAGCAGATAGCACCATTTATAAAACATAGTGCCATTTCATTGTCCCAGTTTGTTAAATGAATGAACAGAGGCTGAGGGGGGTTTAATTTAACCTTTCAGATTGTAATACCCTTCATTCTCCATGCATGATAGTCACAGCCATGCTTCAGCGCAGCTGGCCAAGGCTCTAATGGTGTTGTGTAATCTGAGGTCAGACAGTAGAGTTAAAGTTTAGTCTGTACTATATTAAAGCAGGGAGGTGGTGAAAGCTACTGTTTAGTTTTTTCTGATTTTGCTAAAGCTTTTATCCAATGAGTTTGTTTGCAATATTTTGTGGCTGATATGAATATATTTACAACATGTTTGTCTTCTTCATTGACTAAGGCCTAGTCCACACAAAGGTGACATGTTATATTTTCATTATCCGTCTTAGAATAAAGTTGGATCCACACAAATGTACAAGGCACCAATAAGCTACTCTGGTTTAAATGCCGGGCGTTTGCTGGTGCTGTGACACTCCTACAGATTCCCACCCAAACTGCTGGCAACCCACTGGGCATGCTCAGACAGCTGATGCCATGTAAACAGCGCAACATGGCGGTGGAGAGCTGCACGCCGGTCCCAGAGGAAAGCTGATGCACAGCTTCAGTCTAATCTCGTGGATGAGGGCTTAATGTCAGACCTGCTCGTTTGCACTGCAGATCCTGACACTAAATGACATCACAAACGATGAGCTTATGATAAAAGACTCGCCAAGAGGAAAAGAGATCACAGACATCTCAGCATCTTAAGACAACTAACAAGAAATGTTGGCACCAATAGCCCTCATAGGCCCTGACATCTACAAAAGGAAGTTTAGGTTTTCCCTTTTTTACTGCACCGCATGTGTCCAAAGCGTAGCGTCTATAGCATCGGGTACGAAGTACAGTATCGGCTTTATCCATAAGATCCACCTACTATTACTAATTTTATCTGGAATTTAACTGTGTGTGCATGCAGACTCTTTCCCTCTCTGTCTTTTCTTGCACTGCCCCCCTGGGAGGCAATGGGCTGCTATTTGAAGCCTGGGACCTAGTTTCATTCCTACCATGGGCTCCCCTTCAGAAGCTGATTGCACAGAAGAAATGCAGAGACACAATAGGACAACAGCTGAAAGGAGTAACTGAAACGAAACTAATAACAATTCACCTTCAGTGTAGGAGAAGTAAAACATATGGATTTTTTTTTCTGAAGTTTAAATAAATAGATGACCTGTTTGGGATTTCCTGTCTTCTTCTTCTTCTTCTGCACCAGTTGGCTGCAATCCCATGTGATCCTTTAAGATAAAGAAAGTAGATACAGAATAAATGAGTGAATCCTGACAACTGGATCAGTGTAGAAATAACATTTCATATGAACAATAATCTGTGTTTAAAAAGGAAGTGTTTCCTTTCCAAGCTGCATAAGGACAGAAAAGGAGGTCAAAGATTATATAAGAAGTCAAGGAGCTACAAACTCACCATCATTACTATTTTGTGACTTTATATCAGCTTGTAATCATGATCCTTACATAACCTACTTCAGCAATGAATAATGAACCTCTTGATAAAAACTCTGCATTCAGTCCCTCTGAATCTTTGCTTCATAAATACCTTCATCTTCTGCAGACCTTTGATCCTTTTTTTACATCAAGCATTTTTACTTTGAACTCTCAACTGAGGAAGAAAGAAAATAATCACCTAAAAACAAAAATTTTCCTCATATTAAATACGTGTAAAACTGTCCATCTAAAAACATGCTAGTTAGATAACCTGCATAATATCCGCTCTGTTCTAAATTAACATGAAGAAAAAGTTAAGGTGAATCTCAAACTATTAAAGACAAATATCATAATGTTAGTTTCCAGGCAAGCTAATCTAAATGATTGTCTGGTCTGTAACCAGTTAAGAAAAAAAGCATTTAGAAATTTTAATTAGTTTATAATAATTACAATAACGTAATTTGTCTCTGTAAGATACTCAGATTGCATTGATAGATGTAACAATGAGCCATTTTTACCTGTATGTCAGCTAAATTAGCAGCTTAACACAGTATCTGGTTTATTTTAGTTGTTTTGGTTGAAGTGGATTTGTTTGGGTTGTGGTTCTTTATTTGGCCACATCTTGTTTTCATTTTTGTAAAAAGGTAAATTGATTTCACGTTACAATATTTTGTTTTTGTTTAACTCTTCATAAAAGGGAAATTTGTGGATTAAAGAGTTAAAATATTGTGAAATACTAACCTCTGCTGTTTCACCCATAGAGCAGGTGTGTACAGGACTGTACCATTGGATAATTGAAGGGGGGAGGTTGATCTGATGTATGCTGTTTTCTATATTGAGTGTTTGTTTGGGTTGAATTGAAATATTTTTTTTCTGTATTTATTGGTAAAAGTATTTCTTAATTAGCTGTTGGTTTAAAACTAATTTTCCTTTTCTTCTTGTTATTGTGAAGCTGAACATCCTTTTAAAAATGGTTTCTTCCAATGTAGTTCCTCCTCTATATAAGAAAGATGTCTGCCATTGTTCTGTTGGTTGGTGTGGTTTGGTTGATGTCCTGCACCAGAACATTTTTTTAAGTTTCGTTAGCTGAAACTCTTCAGAGCTTGTTCTTCTTTCAACCAGTTTGGGTTCCACCTCCAAGACTGCTTGGCCTCCTGACAAGCGTGTGTCTAGAGCATTACCTGCTGTATATTATGTAGTTGCACTAACGATTCCTGCAGTTCAGAAGAAAAAAATTATAGACACAGAGCTGGATGCATTCTTTACTAAAACCATGTTTTTCTTAGTGGCTTTGGAAGAATTCAGGATTTAGGCAAGTTTATCTGTATGATGACAGAACTCAATGTTCTGTACATGAAGAAAACATAAAAAGAAAACACAAGAGAAAAATACATTGGTGGTATTATAGAGGCAGTTAAAGACGAGTTGGACTTTAATGATGTTTCATTTAACAGTTTAAGTAGTACAGCTAAAAGTATCTTTACAAAAATCAGTTTTTAACCATGAATTAAAGCGACTTACAGTTTTAATCCTTTAACAGTTTCAGGGAGTTTATTTCCAGATTAACGGACCATTCGACCCAAGGCTGCTTCCCCATGTTTGGGTCTGGATGGGGGGAGTAGATTGATCCAGGAGACCAGAGAGGTATGAGAGAGGGGGTCACTCCAGTGGCTGGAAGTTGGAAGGGATTTTGCTGGGAGTTGCAGGGAAGGTGGCGGCCATTGGGCCGGCGTTTGATCAGGAAGGGCCATTTTGAATGGCTGCTTCAGTAGAACAGATGTGCTTCACTTTCATAGTTTTAGTGAGAACGCAGAAAGCAGCATTGAGTGATTTTTCAGCAACATCTAATGGTCAGACTGCAGCAGCATAAACCCCAACACCACTTCCATTAGCGGCCGTCATGGTGCTGCTCTAACCACTAACAATCCCCTTCAATAAATAAAATGTATGCAGTAAATCAAGATTTTTATGCCAACTAAAGAAAGGGCCGAAAACAGTTTCTGGTCATTTAAATGTTTTTAGAATTTGTATTTGCGTGTTGCATCTCCTAACATCTTGCATATTTCTTTCTTTCTTCTTTTATTCATCTGTGAGAGAAAATCGCTTTAAAATATCTACAAAATATTTCTGGATTCAGTGAGAAAATGTTTTGTTTTTACAAAGTAAAGTAGATGTTTTAGATGAATCCAGTCATATTATGTTTTATTCAGTCGTTTTAGTTTTGCATTTTCCAATGTATCAAAGCAATGTTACTCAAACCAGAGGAATTTGTAAAAATCTGTTTTCCTTTCAGTCTCTTTGATTGCTGAGAGCAGTAATTGTTCCACAGTGAAGAAGTCAAGGTGCTTGGGAAAATCTGAACTAATGGGAAAGAAGGCAAGTTTCCTTCGATCACATTAATAATTTCCTCCATCAGTGTGAAATAAGCCGGAGTGCATCTTCAGTAGCAGCCATTCAGAATGGCTCTTCCCAGTCAAATGGCAGCCTACTCCCCTGCAACTGCCAGCGAAATCCCCTCCAGCTTCCAGCCACTGCAGTGACTCCACCCTTTCACTGAATTACAGGGTCTGACCAGGAGATGGCGCTTCTCTTTACTTCTTAATGTCCACAAATCAGGACAGAAAGAATATTCTGGTACAAAGATTGATGTTTAAAAAATAATTATAGGGGAGCAGCCAAGAGCCAACCAAGGACCATCCAAGGACCCATCAAGGAAAGTGGGCAAACTTTAATTTGCTACTACTGTAAATAAATACAATAAAGAGAATAAATATATATTTATTGTTTGGATTATTTTAAAGGGAATCTTTGACTTTTGCTGCAAGACTAGAGCTGTGAGACATTTCTATTCCCATCCTCTTTACTGTACTACCTCCTCCGCCATTACTCCTTCCTGTCATCTTAAGGGGGGGTGGGGGGGGGGGGGGTGCAGGTAAGAGCAACAGACAGCCGGTGTCCAGAGCATCAAAACCAATATCAGCTCTCCCCAAATTAATTAGCAGCTTTCTTCCTGGCCTGTTCCAGTAATAAGTCTCTGAGGGAACCCAAGCAATAGGCCACACTATGTCCTACCCCCCCTTTGCTCCCCACCCCCACCCCCAACCACACACACTGAGCTATTACCCTTTACCTGCGGTCTTTCAGAAACGAATCCTATCACACCAGCACTTTCCTATGACCCTCAAGCTGAATGCGGACAGAGGATGAAGCTGTAAAACAATCACTGCTTCCATTGGTTTGGTGTCAAAGACAATTAAATCTTGTTGAAGATGGAATCTGGAGCACAGTAACAGTTGTGTGATGCACTGGCAGACGGTAATGACTAGTATGATACTTGTTGGAGATCAGCATGTGTTGCTGAAATGTTCAGGGACAAAGTGTGTGGATGTTGGGATGATGAAACACCTGAGCTAATGATGCATCTGGATCAGTCCTGTTTCTGGCTTCCAGCCCAACATGACAGTCAATATGAAAGAAGCGTCACAGTAAAAACGGCTGAGGAGCCTGATGTCAAACCAGTTCTACACCATATGAGGCTTAACAGTCTGAACATGGATCCATTTACAGGTTTTTACTTTAAAAAAGGTACAGGGAGTTCTTCTCTGCCAGATTCATGTGTTTAAACTAAAATCTAAAAGGTTTTTTACACCAACTGATGTGACGCCTTTTGATTTTCTATAAGAGCAGAGAAAGAACTATGAAGCACATGTTGGTCTTATACTTCAATTCAATTCAGTTTATTTCAATTCACGACACATGCTGTGCATCACAGCAGCATTACAGCAAGAGTGGAAACTATATAGAAATAAAAAGAGTTTAAAAAAACAACCAAATGAAATACTGTACCGTAAAATGTTTTAACAATATAAATACTGTTCAGTCATCTGTAGAATAAATAACCAATAAACAGCTGTGGACATTTTTACAGTAATCTGAAAATAGCAGCAACATCAGAGATGTGCAGAATGACCGTAGCATGGATGCAGGGTGCAGCAGTCTGTCACTGAAGGAGCTCTCCAGTTCAGCACCAGCTTCATGTATGGTAAGCAATCTCTCAACTCAATTCTGCTCATTTTATTTCTATAGCTCCAATTCACATCATGTCATCTCAGGTCACTTTATAGATCCAGATTAACCAGATCATTCAGTCAGATTGATTCAAAGTTTTCTATCTAAGGAAAACCAGCTGATTGCATCGACTCATTGACTCTTCAGCAATCCCTCACACTAAGC